CAAAATAAAAGGCAGCAGAAAGAAGAAAAAAATCTTATATCTGCCCCTTTTTTGCCAAAAAGAAATTTAAACAATAATAATCAAAAAATAAAAACAAACAAAAACAACATCAAATCCTTCTCGAGCAGCAATTCATGTGGATACACATTATACTATTTCATATTTCTTTAACTAACTAATTTTATAAGTCTCTTAATCATAAACATTGATCCAGCATTTTCAGCTTCGCTCTGCAGATTATTCCATAGTCTTATTYCTTCAAACTAGTTTGTAATTTAGGTTTCACAAACATCTCTATYYCCTTAAAATTACAATAACTCTCAGTAGTTGGGTTCTATGAAAACATTTTCCCGCAAACAGTGAAATGCAACTCTGCGGGGCTTCACTGTAAAGGCATATTTGTGTTTGGKAAGGTTGAATTACTGTGGCGGCCATCTTGAATTGGTTTAACTCCAAAGGTTTGTTGGTGGCAGTTGCTTCACCATCTTCTGAAGCTTATAATGGGTCATGAAGGTAAACGGTCTAGGAGAGAGACCCAAACCTCCCTCTCAGCTCATTCTGGGGGACCCTGAGGCACTCTTAGTTCAGAGTTGTAGCTGCAGTTGCGTCTACAGCAGGCACTAATCAATAGAACCACATTGACACTCTTTAAATGCAAAGGTATTTTTTAGATACTAATATAATAAAACGCAGTGAGCGTTAAAACCTCATGTGGAAATTATGAGTATTTTTGTCTCGATGTATCATCAACACAACATTCTGGTTTCCCCAAAACACGTCTGTCCTTTTCAGAGATTTATTAATGTTCTGTTCTCACCACCTGTGAGGGGGCGGCGCACTATAAGCAGACGGTTCGGTGGTACTTCTGCCAGCTTTAAAGGGTTGCATAAGAAACATATAAATAAACTCCCCCTGAGGACAGATGGTGTTGTAGAACACCTGAGGGGAAGTAGGGAAACACGGACCAGGATGAACTCTGAAATCCGTCTCATCTCAAGGGAAAACTTTGTCCCAACGCAGCCACTACAGAATATTTGTCAGGGTTGCGCCTTTTAACACCAACCCCTACAGAAAAACACTAAGACTACCAAAGATACAGGTTTCTACTGCTCCAGTGATGTAAAGTTAAAACTTTCCTGACCAAATGAAGAGAAGTGGGGTACAGATATTACACAAAATTATTTCTAACCTAGTTTTATTGTTTAAGATATTTTATTTATATTCTGTTTGCATTTGGATTGACAGAAACAGTGCTGTGAGGATATTGGTTGGACAAGATCAAAATTTGTCAGCGCAACAGGTCTAGCCTTAGCCTGGTAAAAACCAGCTCCTTGTTCTCCGCTTTGCTTCGTACAGAGGGTCTGGACTCTTGGCTGTTGAGGAGCTATTGCTTCGTGGAGGTGTGGCCTCTGTTTAAGTTTAAAACGAGTGGATCTTACTTATCCAATCGCTAACGGTTGGCCGCGACGCATGTGCGCCAGCTTTACTGTGAAGGAGGCTAAGCTAAGACGCTAACCAGAAAGTTCATACGCACTGTAAACAACCATCCCCTACTGAGAGAGAAGTACCGAGCCAAATGAGAAATAAGAGCTGCAGGCTTTGTGAGACAAATTTACTTTAATTTGGAAGCCTTGTCAACTGGCTTCATTCACTTCCTCTGCCGCCGTGTGCTAAACTAACTAACCAACTAGCAGAAAATCGACSTCGTTCAAAACTCCGCCTTCTKTTTGCTGATTGGCSCAGTCAAAATTCTCCTGAAAAAATCCTTGTCTATGGGAGAAATCCCAGACGAAGCAGTGAAGGAAACTAGAATTGAGCAGGACTGTGTGGGAAGGGAAGGGCCAGGCTAGTCTAGCCTGGATGTGTTTTTTGTTTGTTTGTTTTTTTATTTGGCCTGAACAGTTTGGCTCTGAATTAGCTCCATTAGGTTTGTTTGTGTTTTTATGTTTTTCATCCCCACAGTATTGCTATAAAAGAACATATTTTTGTAGTTTTGTTTTTCCTATCATTCTGAAACATTTGACTTTTCATTCTCAAACGTAGCTATGATTGTGGAATAGAGATTTATATTTTAGGACATTTCTCTTTTCATTACTCCTTTTTGTTTCCCTTCAACACTCTGCCTTCCTCTGGTCTGTGCTTTTTTTTTCTCACTCCTGTTGGATGCGTGGATCATTTTAAAGCTCTTCTTCCAACAGACGATGATGCATTCCATTAGTGGTAATGCAATCACGTGCACGCAGTCAGCGCTGAGTGCTTTCAGAGCTGTGGCTTTTTGCAGCCTTTCTTTCCCAGGCAGGAATATTTTACCTCTTTAATGAATGCTCCTCTGCCAAACACAATGAAAACAAAGCAATTAGCCAGAACCATGCAAGCAGTCGGTGTAACTACAAGTCAAGCACATTTTGTCTCGTGTGTTCTGGTGTCCTTTAATTTCCTGTTTGTTTTGTTTGTTGACAGTTCAGCGTCRGGACATGCTCCGTGTTGATAGATGACAGAAAATGTTCTCAGATCCGTTGCTCTTCGTAAAAGATTTGTTGTGGGCTTCACTGATTTTTCCTTTAACATTAAAAGCTAAATTACAACATTTCTGTTGGCAATTTAAACGTAAAATGATTGGTTTTGATGCACAGTGGCTGAATATGCTCCAAATATTAGCCTGACTGCAGTTGATTGTTGTTGATTTGATGGGATTATGATGTTTGTGACATGTCTGGGTCACCATAATTACCTCATTTCTTTGTCAATAAAAATACAGTTTGTCTGCACTGAAAACTAATTCARGTAGAACAGTTTGTTAAAGAACTCGCTGAGCTCGTCAGAAAATAAGATCAGTCTCAAACAAATCAGGCTTGAATGATGGTGTTCAGTCAGTCTGACAGATGATGTTTGCCTTCAGGTTTTATGTTTCTAAATGTTTATTCCCTGTCGTCAGAGGTGTTTGTTTGTTCTTTGTCCTGTTTGAGATATTTTACTAACAGCTTCTTCTGTCAGCTGTTCCCTTTTCAGGGGTCACAATGAGTCATCTTCCTCCACCTCATTCTGTCCTCGGTGTCCTCTGTCCTCAACTACCTCCATGTCTTCTCTTAACTGCATCCCTAACAAACTTCTACCAATATACCCACTGTCCCTCCTCTGGACACGTCCAAACCAATATACCCACTGTCCCTCCTCTGGACAC